AACACATCAACTAGAGGAGCGCAGCCCGTCTTCTATGGAGTCCAGCCTTCAAAAACAAGCCAAGCTACGCCAAACCACACTCCAGCCCTTCTAGCGCAGATGAAAACATAAATATATTCTGCAGCTTCCTTCAGCTCATCAAGGACCGCAAAATTCTGGACCCAGAAAAAGGTTTGACGGCATCGTCATCGTGAACGGCGATGACACATGCTGTAGAAACGTGGTCGGGATTCGGGCCAGAGATGGCAAAAATACTTTCAAAAAGTAATTAAATTACATCACTAATTACTTTTCTGAAAACTGCTAAAATGCAAATAAATTACAAAATTACCACAGACAAAATTACATTACAATTATTTTCCAAAAGTAATGAAATTACTTTGAAATTACTTTAACATTACATTTGAATACCTTGAGGCAGTAATTCGTGCTCATTTTATTTACCGTATACACCAACACTCTGTTTACAAACAAGCCCTCATTTGCGCACACATGGTGTGGGCATTGCATGTGTGCAGAAACCAGATCCAGGAGAAGCGAGGTGCTGCGCGTGCGCAGATCCGACAGCAGTGCCGGAGCAGTGATGTGATGTCAAAAAGTTTGACTATATATATACCAAAGCTTAGATCTTCCTGTTCGCACCGCAACAGCCTTATGCGCTTCAAAGTGAACCATACTGAACAGTCGTTTGGCTGGTGCACAAGACAGAAGTATTAAACATAATGAACAGCTTCTTTAGATGTGACGAAGAAAGACAGTTGGCTCACCGGCAGGGTTGTAAAGTACCTAGGTACAAGTAACTGTAAATCGGTATCTAGGTACTTTTGTTGTACCTGAGGTACAAACCTAGGTACTTTAATTTCTCAGTATCTGTATCTGTATCTTAGGTACATTTTCCAGTAACTTGTAACTAAGTGAAGTTACTTTTTACAGGTACTTTCTATTCACTTCGTCAAAATCTTAGAAAATACAATATAACATATAACTGAAAATAAATTATAATTACAGTCGTAAAACACGTGGTGTTTCCACTCAATAAATCAAACTCAAATTTTTTCACTTCACAAAACTGAAAATGTTTGTGAAGAAAAAAAACTGGGAGGACGATTAACCTTCGCCTTTAAGAGTTGAAGGCGATAGGGTTATCCGGCCCCGTTCGCATGGCCTTCTCAATCGCTTCTCATGCTCTTGAGTCACACAACGACTTAGTTTTTATGATACAACACTCCCGGCGCCATTGAGGAGCTTTTGCCAGTGCTTTGGATGCTATTTTACCCCGCAAGGTTTATGTATGTGTTTGCTCGGCACGCGCTAACAACACTCGATGCGATAATGCCTTTACCCTGACACAAACAGACATCGAGGCACTCTAATGACGGCAGGATCGCAGTGCCATTCCCAAGCCCTCCGTTGTCTAGTCGGTATCATGTCTGGCTCGCAGCCGAAGGGTCGTGGGTGCAATCCTGCGTAAATTCTTCAAATGTTTCTTTAAGGCAAATGAATTATTTTATCAAGTGGGATCATTTGAAACATGCTGCGACCATTAATTCGTATGTCTTTAACCACCTTCATTCCACGCGTGACGTCACGCTTCATATGAGCGTTGTGGGTTGTTTGAAATTCCCGCGCGAAGTCATGTGGCTGTGACGTCACAACCCTATCGACCATTCAGGAATTTTCCGTCACGCCACCGACACCACCGACATCCGACGGATTTTCTGTGACACGAGCTCCTAAACGCGCTCGCGTTACAATATTCTCTTCCTTCCTAAAAACGAAAGAAAAAACGTGAAAACTTGAAGACTTTCGCGCGTCGTTGCGTTGCGAAGGTTAGGTGCGTGTGCACTCGACTCTTCGTTTCTCCATGCGGCCGACGTCTTTAGGGCTCGCCGATGGCTTCGATGCCAGTGCTGGCGCTGAAGGGCAAGCCACGTCAACAAGCGAGTTTAAGCGGGACGTCGTAAACAGTGGAAGCTGTGTCCTCGGTGAGCCAATTGGATCGTGAGAGTAAGGCACGTGAGGACCCCACTCCGATCTGGACATCTGTGCAGCGCCGTCACGTGCCTCGCTCCAGTGACCTTATTGGCCCCCTGGGCGCTTCTGTTTTGCCATGTGCCAACTTCTACCGAGTTGGAGGCTCTTCCGGTGGCTGTTTCTCGCCGACCGTACAGTACACCAAACTTGCTCCGACAAGAAGTCTGGACTGTTTCAAGCACATGCCGCTGCTGAAAAGCGTCTTCTTAAAATTCAACACAGGGCTTCCAGCGGCGGTGAAGCGCGTTTTTAGCATAGGAGGAACAATTGCTACCAAACTGCGATCGAAGATGTAGGATGAACATTTCGAAGAGTCCTGATTCTGAGGTCAAATCGAGCACTCAAGTGAAAAAGGCAAAGTCTTCGAAGGCTCTGGTGAGCGTTTTGCGTTACTTCTCCCATTGACACCAATACAGCACGTTTATCAAACTTGTTTTTGTTTACATCCCAGTATACAAAGGATTTATTCCAATAATAATCTGACAAATTTGAGAAAAATACTTGACGTGAAAATAAAAAAGTACCTTTGAAGTAACTCTACCTGTACCTAGGTACATTTTTAAGCAAGTAGCTAGATACGCACCTAGGTACATTTTCGTATGAGTAACTGTAACTGTATCTTAGGTACATTTTTGAAGTAACTTTTACAACCCTGCTCACCGGTTTCGCTGTTCATTTAGCGGTGAAGGTCCTCACTAATAGGGTGATATGTTTCCGTCTTCCCGACTTTAAAGTTGTGGTTCATATCAGCTTGTTAAGTCGGGCAATGGCAGCTCGTTCTTACAATAAGTCTTCACGTAAAACGTTCCCCTTCCGCCTCGGATGCAATCGAATTCTATTCTCCTAAAAGCACTAATTGACCTACTCTCGGTCATTCTTTTCAAGGGGCATTTTTCACAAGCACCCGAAGAGCCCAAGTTTGTGCACATTGTCACACAAAGGGACCGGATAATTGCTAAGCAGAAGCCTCGGCAGTTGAGGAATGGCGCGAGCTTCCTGAATTGTGTACTTTTCCAACAACGGAGGGGGGGGGGGGGGGGGGGGGGGTATCTTCTCGTAGGCTTATTCCCAAGTAAACTTCCCAAAGGAAGGCCGCGAGGCATAGCGTGAGTGGCACCTGCTTTGCTCCCGGACGCACGAAACGTTCTGGGGCCTTGACAAGGCATTTGGAATTAACTATTTATTCCGCTCGCTTGTTGTTCACAATGGTCGAAGCCTACGGTTTCGCCTTGTTTGACGAAAAAACAAGGCTGGAGATCTGTTTGTTTTCTCCTGTTAGGTTTTAAATTGCCCGACGCCTTGTCGCCTATGAGCCGCTCATCCCTAAGGTGACGCACTGTCAGCTTTGGGATGAACTGTGGAATCTACGGGTTTGTTGGAGCAGCCAAACGTCTATCGTTCGCCACTTAACCACGCTGTCGTTCATACCCACGCGCAGAGAAAGGGACAGGTGATTAAAAGAAGGCGTTCGATTGGTTCTAGTTAACTTGCAGCTCCCACTGCACTGTCAGCTCAGGGATGAACGAAGTAGAGTATCGTCGTGATCACGCGACGCCGTGAATCTGTCGTGCCTGGAGTTCGTAAGCCGTTGCCTTCCAGCGATGTCTACACGTAAGCTTTTCTCCTTCGCCTTTCCATCCTTCCTTTGTGCGTCTGTCCAGCTTTTTGTGCAAGACTTTGCGCTCAGGTGGCCTTCGCTTATTTCCTCTGATGCTTTTTGACAACATTTCACCATGCAAAATATGTTTTCTCTACTTTTTTAAAGCTTGCAAACGAACTTTCTAATTTAGAACAAAAGTAATTTCAAAAGTAATCAGTAATTTTCTCGAAATTACTGCCTGAAAGCAATTCTTTACATTACCAAATTACAAGCCTCGAGATGTAATTTATTACATTACTCATTACTGCAAAAAGTAATTTCATTAATGCAATTCTATTACAGTAACGTCATTACTGCCATCTCTGGTTTCGGCTCTCTTTCCCGGCCGAGATGATGAAATCCTACGGGGTGCAAGCTTGTGGGACGTCCCACGAGCTTGCAAGGTAGTGCTCCCTGACGGGCGCAAAATAAACAGGCCCATACGGAGGCGCTTCCTCCTCGAGAAAGCAGCAACAACCACCCGGGCCTGGGAGGATATTCTACAACGGTTTTTGAATGTTCCGATTTCCGTCCGATTCTCAGTCCATTTTTCCCCATCGGGTGTTATAGCCTTTAAGGGCCGATTTTACACCATGCTACTTGGTGTAAAATGTTGTAAAAAAAATCAATGCTTTCCCACCAGTATCCAAGGATTGTCATTTTTAAGCTGCATGAGCGTCCTAGAAGGTTGAGACGTGTCTTCTTTCTTTTATAATCAAGAAAACAAAATTGCTATAAAAAAATCTTACTATGACAAAGGTTGATCAAACGGTTTAGTAAGCTCAGGGAACTGATATAAACCAAACTAAACAAGTTACCACTGCGGTTTTCACTGTCAGGTATCCATTGCGATAATTTTAAAACTACACACCAAACATAGGGAAGGGTATATATAGGTTAAAGGTTATTACCATAAAATTTACGGGATTTGTACTATTAAAGAAAAATAATATAAAGACGTTTAATTTATAATATGAAGCAAAAAATATAATTTTACACTTGACTGATCTAAACCGCAAGCCAATGCACTATTGCTTCTGATATACCTTTTATTATAGAACTTGTAAAAAAAAAAGCAAGCAGGATGAGGAAAGACATGAATTCTGAATAAGTTAAGAAGCTTTCTATTGCAACCAGTTAAATATTTTAACTCCACGTTTCCCTTGAGCAGCAAGCTTAATAACAAAATTTATTTTTGCTTTTTAGTCTTTATTCTAAGCGTTAAAACAATGTCATCAATAAAATAAAACAAATACAATTCTGCAGCACGCACAACACAAAAAGAGGATGTCCATGACTCGGTATAATGAAGGTTTAGCTGACTTACAATGCACATTGAACTTGAACCCGCATAAAAAGTTATTTCGTGGCAGCTTACTTTGCATTCTGTATTTACAGATATCTGAAACAAGTAGGAAGAATGCTAGTCAGAGGCAGGCTTGATTATGCGAAACATATGTTTATGTCTACCTGTCTAGATCGATATGTAATGCAAGTTCAGAGTTCAAAAAGGGATTAAAATTGAATCTAGAAGTTTACATTTATACACACTTGAAAGACAACAACATTTATTATAGATGACTTATCTTCTAAATATTAGGTTTGTGTTTGGTTACGGAAGGTGAGTAATAGCATTTGCCTTTATTTCTTACGAACATATAACATGCAAAATAAAAAAGCAAGTTTGTAACGATTCAAACTCTACTTATTCAGAATCTTTGTGTGGACATTGTGCAGATTAACTACATAGTATATTAAGTGAAAATAAAAATTACTACAACCATCATCATTAGACTTAATGCATGATAAATGCCCATTTTTGACTAAAGGGGTTTCGTTAATATTTTTACATAAATCATTCCTTAGTTTCGCAATACTTACAGTGTCCTTGTTGAATTTGTGCTGGCTTATGGTGCAACTCTCGGCAAACACTTGCTCTGTGGCTACTTGCGCTGTAAAAAAAGAAAACGTTTTTCTTTATTTTCTGTGATTTTCTTTATAAATCTATAGCCACACTGATGGCTATAGATTACGATAATAAAATAGAACTGTGCATTTTTCACGAGTGCAGTTCAAATACACAAACTTGCGCGTGGAAAAAAAACTGTGTTGACATATATACAGTACCGGAGATATACAAAAACAAGAAAATAACTCGCAACCACTATGGCGCTGCTCTTGTATACGGTCACAGTATTGTAGTAGCTGGTAAGTGTGTTCGTCGACTACAACTTACTAAATTAATTCCACACAAATTGCAGCTCAGAAATGATCAAGCACAAAGTAGGCGTCCCGCTGTACTCCCAATGGGTATTCGTTCTTTGCCAAAATTAGTCACCCGGACCAGACATGGGCCTCATGACTAGCATTTCGTATGCCCGAATAAATAGGGGCCATTTCTAATATTTGTAGAGCATTAAAGCAGAGGTGTATGATGGGAAAGTAATTTAAAGCACCTGTCATAATATGAGCTGATGTCGCACGTCCTCTTTTTGGGTTACTAGTATTGGTGTAAGCTTTTTTGGTTAGGAAGAAAATAAGTCATCCATGGCAGCCCAAACCTTGGCTATTGCCGGTTACTAATGAAAACATTAGACACCATATCAGCTGGGGCGTCTTCCCCTTGCGAGATAGTGATCAGGAAGTAGAAACATCGTCAGGAGTTTGCACCAATAAATTTAATAAAAAGGTAAAAAGAAACTTTAACTTGTATTCATAACTGCATGAACTATGCGTGTGTTATGGTTAGTTATGCTAGGTTACGTGGAGCTTTCGGAGATTTTAAATGCGTTGCACACAACACACCCTTGATCTTAAGTGATTTATCAGAATGATCAAGACAATTTTTAGTTTATTGAGGAGCGGAGTGTGCTACTTAAGTTTCCATGGATTCTGGAAATGCTTTACTAGAGAATGCATCTTACTCTTTGAAAAGCTAATAGCCTTAGCGTTGTCATATTTTGCGTAATCAGAACGGCTGGACGCGCACAGCCTCGGGATATTCTCTGTTGAATTGAAAAGGTTGGCTGTCGACTTTTAACGTCGTATAAACGCGTCAAGGCAGCAAAGAAAGCCATGTCTGTTGTCTTGAAAAATCCGAAATCTCCGTGCGTCGGTGGTAGCCCTCTCCCTCGGCGCAGCGCAGACGCGAGACAACGTTCTCTTGACGATAAGTTTCCAAACCACTCGGTGAGCATTTGGCGCTCTAGGTGGGCTGTCTTATGTAAAAGAACGAAGTAGAATATATTCTCATATAACCTCCCATCGGAAGGAGCCGAGCTAGTTAATTGTACATATTTGTATTGTGGAACCAGCTGAACTTACTGAGTTCAGTTGGTTCCAGAACCAAAATAAAACAGATAATCTAATATAACCTGTTGCATGTTTAGAAAAGCAGGACAAGCTCCTCCCGCTAATTCCCCCATCCCATGTTCACTTTAGCAGAGCAAACGCAGGACAGGAGACGAGACGAGGCGAGGAGGGCCTCGACTCGTCTCCGGCATTCGCTCTGCTAATTTGAAAAGAGCGGTGTGATTCGCGGGAGGAGTTTCTCCTAGTTTTCTTAACCTGTAACCAGGTATAGGCTTCTTGCCCTGACGTCACATCGCATACTTTTAAACATCATTTAAAAGGAGGAGAGGGAAGCTGCTTTTGTGAGAACTTTGAGTGACATGTTAATCTTCTATAATCTTTTGGAAGGAGAACAGCGACGGTCTGTGCTTATCCGGGAGGCACAAAGGAGGTTCATGATAAGAGGGGAGCTCCTTTTTCCCCTTTTCTCTGGAGGGCATCGGAAATGACGTCATGTGCAAGCCACATATAGTAAAGTACCTCTGCTCTGCTTCTTCCGCAGATGAGTGTAGTGCTTTGACCACTTAGTGTTCTTAGATTGTGAGCAGCTCTTTGTCCAGCTGAAGTAATCGCGAGATGAGGTGTATCGCACATGCTAGAGTCACTAAATGAGCTACCCTTAGAGTATCGGCACTCTGTTCTCCAATATTGTTGTGGGCGCCGTCATCTTGGTGCTTCTGCAGAGCAGACGCAACTGCCGATCGTCATAATTAAAGGACACATGCAAAGGAAAAAAACATTTTTTTTAAACGGCTTAGATGGAAAAAGGACGCCATAAAACGATTTTACAACGAAGAAAAAAAATTTTTAGAGCTATATTTACGGCGCAAAACGAATTTGTAGTTGGCGCCCGCGGGCACCGCGGAAAAGTGGTCTGTATTTATCACGTGACTGGTCTTTATTTATCACGTGGTGCTTGCGCTCTTTCGGAAGCTTCCTATGGCCTCTAAAAGTAACTTATTCATCTTTGTTTGAAGCATAACAAAAAACCAAGACGAATAAGTAACTTTTAGAGCCCAAAGGAAACTCCTGAAAAAGCGCAAGCAGACGCGATAGACCTGTGCGCCGGTCAGACGACGGCGGCGGCGCCCCGAAGCAGACGAACTTGTGCGGCGGCGGCGACGGCGGCGTGGAGAAACGCGTTGAAGCGGCGTTCGCACAACGCTCAGCGTGCGGCGGCAACGCAGCGCGGCGGCGCGCGGGCCTACCACGTGACCAGCGGCGGCTCCCGCGAGCGCCAACTACAAATTCGTATAGCGCCGTAAATATAGCTCTAAAAATTTTGTTTCTTCGTTGTAAAATCGTTTTATGACATCCTTTTTCCATCTAAGCTGTCTAAAAAAATTTTTTTTTTCCTTTGCATGTGTCCTTTAAGAAGTGCGAGTTCCTCAGCATCAAATTCGGTGTTATGAAGCTCATATAATATTTCTTTGCTCTGTCGCGAACTATTTAAAAATTTGTTGAGGAAAGAAAAACTTTTTTTTTATTTCAGATAAACCTTCAGATATCTGGCAGCCATGATTTTAAGCCACAAGATGGGTAAGTGTTGTCACTTTGAAGCGTAGATTATCCAGTGGCACTAGCACGCGCTATCTATTTTTGCATCTTGCACTTTCTGGTCTCATGCGCCAGCTGCGCTATTCTTTGGTGCATTACGATCTGCCCCGTGACGTTGTGGGATCACGTGTGGTGCTACGTTTCGCCATTCAGGAGCCTGCTGCGCGGGGGATTGGTGGCCGAGTGATTCTACTTCCGGCTTCCGAGCACTACGGTTGGGAAATCATGAGCTCCTCAGGAGCGTCGATAACGGCCCTCGCCGGCCGCAGTTCATTTCTTTCTTCGGCTAACTCGGATTACCGTATTGTTCTGCCTCCCCTGCATCATGAACCATTGGGCGCAACTCTGTGTTGTTGCACGGTGACGTGAGTGCTCGCCCATACAAGATAGGCGATTTCAGGGCCGAGATGGAACGTCTTGGTGTGATTTGGCACATCGAGGCGCTCGGCGCCTACCAATTGAATCATCTCTGGATGGTGACTTTCAAGACGGAGAAAGCCAAGCTGCGCCTGGTCACCGCCAAGGAACTGGAGGTAAAGGGCAAGCGTTGCATCGTCGTGGACCCGGAGTATGCGGATGTTCGCATGAAATTACATTGGCTCCCTTTCCACGTATCAGGCGAGACCGTCAGGAGGGCCCTAAAGCCCTTTGGGAAGATTCAGGACCTGACGCGTGAAAAACGGAAGGTGGAAGAATTCACCGGCATCCAGTCGACGACCAGACTGGTGCGGCTAAGCCTAAAGGTGGATGTCACTTTAGAACACCTTCCGCACCAGTTGAGGGTTGCTGATGGCCACGTTCTGGTCGTGATCCTGGGACGTGATCCATTATGTCTACCCTGCAAAGGTACGGGACACATTCGACCAGAATGTCGAAACTGATGTTTCCACCACAGCCGGTGCGAAAGGGTCGATGTACTGAAAGAAGTGCACCCTCCACAGTTGCAGCCCGAGGGGGACGCTGTGAAACCCGATCCTTCGCAAGCGTCGAGCAGCAGTCCTATCGTATAGAGCGACGTCCAAATGTCTATATTAAAAGACGTAAAGGCCATCCAAGCTCTGGAATCAAAAGACACCAGCCAGGTCAGTCTGAGTGACGACAACTGCGACCTTAGCGACGCCAGTGAAACCACCATGCGGCCAGGGGAAGCATCAGCACGCTTCGAGTTCAATTAGCACAAGAACACCACACGGAGGGAGCGCTTTAACCCGAAGCCGCCCATCCCGACCGAAGAACGACGCCGGCCAGTCCCTTCGTAGATAACCTCCTTTTTGTTTCTCTCTTTGCTCCCTGCTAATCTCTCGACAGTGTTCTCGTCGCATGACTTCGGCCGCACCCCCTTTTCCACAAAATACGACCCCTCAAGTTTGCAACCCTCAATTGTGTCAGTCTTATGGCAAAAAGAAGAAAGCAACGGGTGCTGGGCACTATTCTGCACGAGCGGGTTGATGTCGCTTTTTTGCAAGAAACCAAGATTGCCACAGACGGTCAAGTGGGGGAGATGGCGCGCTTTTTTGATCATCAATTCATCATCTTCCTGTCGAGGGCATTTGGACAGAGCGGGGAAGCGGCGATAATGATTCGCAAGAGAAAAGGCATCACAATCTACCCCGAGTGGGATGGAGACAGGAATGAACAGGTGTGCGCTGTAGAAATGCTGCACTGCGGACAGCTGCACAAGCTTGTGTCTGCGTATGCACTTAATAATGCGACTGAACGAAGGGAATTTTTCAAAAATCTTCGCCACTACCTTGACACTCCTTGTCGAAGAATGTCGAAGATGGATTGCTCGAAGGGGCTGAAAGCGGACGTCAGCCGGGTGGAACTGCGAAAACTGCTTGGCGACTTCGACATGGTGGATTCTAAGGACAACGAGAAAACAGTCGACCCAGCGTAAACGCATTGGCAAAGAAATTGCCGTGCTCGACTAGATCGTATCTACCTCTCGGGAGAATTTTCAGCAATGACGCTTGTGTTAGAAGTCCTACCTTGGCATTCTCGGAGCAAGCTTTGGTCGCGGTAACGCTGGGTAGACCCGTGCCGC